TTTTTATTTTTTATCCCCTCTCTGAATCATTACATGTCTGAAAGTGTACTACTTTTCCCTCAATAGATAAATGATATCTAGGTCACATATATTTTCTGACTTTTTTCTCTCAGTAGCTTATAAACATTTTCTCATAGTCTTCTGGCTATAATACTGCTAATGAGAATTCTGATACTAATATCATTGTTTTCTATGAAAATAACTTCTGGTGGCTTGTAAGATTTTCTCTTTATCCTTAGATTTTAGAATCTCAATAGCAAGTATTTATAGGCACCTGCCCCTACCTGCCCCGCTAATCCTGCTGTGGATTGGTGAGCACTTCCAATCTGCAGATTTAAGCTTTGTTTTCAGACCAAGAAAAATGTCTTCTACTACTTTCCATCTGTACAATGGGTCTCCTAAATCTTTCCCCCCTCACAATTACCATCTTTGTGAATTATAAGATATTTCTTCTCTTGCTTTCTAGAAATTAACTCAGTTCTCAGTAGTGACCATTCTTGTTCTCCTTTTTCTGTTTATTAAATGTTTATATTTAGAAATTATGAGGTTTTTTTTTTTAAGTTCCAAATGTTTCCTTTGTACTTATAACTCATTTCCTGAGTTGTGTGTTGAAGTTCTCGTCTATCTCTTCCATTAGTTTTACCTTAGTGCGTGTCCCATTCGTTTTTCAGCTTGGACTTTCTCAGCGAAGACTGCCTTTTTCCTTGCTCACATGAGGTGCAGTGCTCCCTTATTTTCTGTGCAGTTCAGTTCATCATGCTTTCTGGTAAATGGCAAATGGGGGAACCCTGCAAGGCCCAGCAAGGAGTGTTGTTTTTACGGCCCACCAGAGCCCAAGTTGACAAACCACGAAGAGATGAGAAAGCTCCTAAACCCACTGGTTCCTTCAGGGCACAAGAACTGAAAGCAATGCAGCTCACCAGGGCAGCCCTTCCAAGGACCACACACATCAAGTGGGTAATGCATGACCTTTCATAGGCTCAGTGCTGGCTGGCTGACCTCATGAGACTATGCATTTCAAGTTTTAGTCTGAGGACTCTAGGAGAAGCAAGCATTCTCCTCTGATTCTCACTGGGTTCTACAAGAACTGTATCCTGGCTCGGCGCCTGTGGCTCAAGTGGCTAAGGC